AAAGCGGGAATCTTTAAAACGGGGAATCTTTAAAAGCGGGAATCGGGCGGTGACAGCCATGGACAGCAGTTTTGCCCTCATTGGGGCTCATCAGCATGGCATAGCCGTCGGGTTCATGAACGGGGAAAATTCCCGCCAGCTCCACACAATACATGTAGGAGCTGTTGGCTGGGAACTGCACGGCACTTCTCGCACAACATGCGCGGGAAGGCGGATCAGGAGTTACCCTCATCTGTGTGCCAGTTGCCGCATTCGGGAAACGGAAGACTGAGGAGAATGTAATATTTCATTACAACTTTATGCAGTGATCTACAGAGAAATTGTTATTTTTTGTGCAGCATTTTTTTTGGGAATATTCGTATATTTGTAGCCACTACGGTTTTACCTCTTTCTACGCTATGTGGTCTCCTGGAAATTTCAAAGTGCCTTTGACATTGAGGGTGAAGAAGAAGCGAATCGTTCGCTTCGAAGGCCTTCCACAAATTAAATGGAGTGATCTAGGGGAACAGGATGTGGTTGGACAAGGCTCATTCGGAGCGGTTTTTATGGTTTTCGATAGTAGTGGTTAAAAACCTAAAACTGGATTTATCTTTGGGACAATTTAATGTAGAACGAGGAAAACAACATATATTGCTGTTGTTACTGTCACTGTTGCTGTTATTGAAGGTCGCTCGAAACATATATTACGGTTCGTCATTATTACATTCATGTTATATTTTTTACAAGTCATTATTTGAAATAATATTTATGTCGTCGTTGTTTCAATTCTGTGATTCACTTACCTTCATGTTGTCGTGGTTTTAAAATTCCCCGGGGTAAAAATCCATCATAAAATGGGTTTTCTCGAATTCAAGAAAATGTGCTGAAAGTGAATAGCTGGAATTTTATTTGGCTTCGAATGATTAATAAAGCTGACATTAGTCCAACTTAACAAACAGTGTCCTTTTGCTCTAAATATCTAAAGATTCCCGCTTTTAAAGATTCCCCATTTTAAAGATTCCCCGTTTAAAGATTCCCGCTTTTAAAGATTCCCGCTTTTAAAGATCCCCGCTTTTAAAGATTCCCCATTTTGAAGATTCCCATTTTAAAGATTCCTGCTTTTAAAGATTCCCCATTTTAAAGATTCCTGCTTTTAAAGATTCCCCGTTCCCCGTTCCCCGTTCCCCGTTCCCGTTCCCGTTCCCATTCCCATTCCCCAATTCCCCGTTCCTTGTTTTAAAGATAGCCAAATATCACCCAAAAATGTTTGTTTTAGATGTTTCAACGGAAATGCCTAATTTGTCTGCTAAAGCAGATAAGCCCATGACTGGAAATGTGCTTAAGTGCCAATTTAAGAATACGCATATACAAACATGAACTACACTATTTAGGAGTTAAATCCAGGAGGCAGGGGCGTAGCTGCCTTTAAGACCTTAAGCCCAGGCGTAACAGGAATTAAAGGCAAAACTATAAACGCATGTCATCACGTATGCATAAAATATGCGGTTTTTATATCATTTACTTCTCAATCGAACTTAAAAGAGGAAGTTCTAAAACAATCGTTCTTCCTTTAACAAAAAGGCAAGGTGTGTTTTTAATTGTTACAACCTTCAGTATTTGTTGGCTATAATTCTTTCTCTCGATAATGTTGGGGCATTTTTTTTCTTAACAATGACCAGAAAACCCACCCCCCTAACTCATATCAATGCAATTATTAACCGCCATGACGTGCTGCACGCATTCGAAAAGACTTTCGCAACCGTTCATTGGGTGCCTCTTGATCTCGCATGCCACTCGTTTAGCACCAAAGTCAAAGGATTTCTACTACAGAACTTTCACATTCTAGGCAATCAGGGAATCTTGTTTACTGCATATCCTGCCGCCGATACCCAGTTCTTTAAAACGTCAGGAGTCGTTTTGGCGAACGTTTGCGAAGTATACGCATGCGCAACAACACTCCTGAGCTTCCTGTGGCGCAACATTTCAACTCGACGGGCCACAGTATTTCCGATTTCCAGGTGTGTGGTGTGGGGATGGCTCTATGCAGTGGAACCGACATCCAACCGAAGCAGCGTGAAATGAGGGTTTTCTTGCAGCAAGGAACCGTTCAAACCTAAAGGACTAAATATCAATTTCAGCTGCGCTTGCCATTATTTACACGCGCACGCGCCTCATTTTATGTCTATGACAATTGTCAGGAGGCGTAATAATAACGGTTTTCTTGATACTGAAGAAGAGTTATTTACGCGAAACGTCTGTTTCCTAAAAACATTTGACACTTTGTGACTTTTCAACGGAATATTATCCTATCCGCAACCCGTAAACCAGCTAGATAAGATGTATTAGTTTTCGCAGTTATAACCCGGTGTGGTTGTTAATGGACGACACTATTTGCAGTAATGAAAATATTGCTATGTCATAAATTATGACTTAGATTAGACGCAGTTTGCCGGTGCATGGCTCTTTGTTGGCCCCTGGCTGTTCAAAACCTTTTTAACTGTGTGCCGACAAATTATCTGCCCTCCTTTTCCTATACAGGAGTAACAGTAATGACAATGCAGTCAAACCTCTTTAATACGGACACCAAAGGGACAGAACCAAGTGTCCGCTTTACAGAGGTGTATACTAAAATGTGTTTTTCTTGTCAATTACTGTAAAGCCATTATTCTTTCCATTAACAAATGCAAGTGTTGTTAGTTGATGTGCCAATTTGAAAATACGCATATTCGATTATCAACTACACTATTTGATAGTTAAATACAGGAAGCGCTGAGGGGCGTAGCTGACTTTAAGCCATAAAAGCCCAGGCTAAACAGGAATTTGAGGCAAAAATATAAATGCATGTTATCACGTGTGCATCAAGTATGCAGTTTTATGCATTTACTTCTCGATCGAACTTAAAATAGGAGGTTATAAAACAAACGTTCTTCCTTAAACAAAAAGACAAGGCGTAGGTGTTTCTTCCGTCAGTCTTTAACTGTTTTTAATTGCTACAACCTTCAGTATTTCATTATTAGAATTCTTGTCTCTCGATAACGTTGTGGCATTTTATCTTAAGAATGACCTGAAAACCCACCCGCGTAACTCATATCAATGCAGGGGCGTAGCGTCCTTTACGCAAATACGCATGTGCGTACTTGAGAAATTGGTAAGATTTTTTTTAAAGGTTTTCTGAGTGTCGACGTGGCTTGACTTTGTATTGTGCACATTTTTTCCTGTGTGCCTCTCTGCTATTCAGCATCGTTTTTTAATACACGTAAAACACAACAGTTTGAGTAGTGAAATGTAATAAATTCGAAACATTCTTGATTAAATTTTGCTTTCAGGCGATCCCACAATACATTGCGTATTCATGAAAATCGGAAACTGAAAATCGACCCTGAATGATTATCATTCCTTTTAAGATTTATCTGAAAAGTTTTCCTATTCAAAAGCTTTTTCACTTTTTTAAGTTTTCTCTCTCTCTCTCCATGAATGTCGAAAAAGTCTCTTTAATGTCGCTCAACTGGAAAGACATGGACCAAACCAGGCTGACGATAATCCACGTAACTAGCAGGGGCACGTTTGGCGCGGTATCAACAAGAATTTTGCAAGAAATTTACTCCTAGCGAACAGATGTAGTATTCTTTTTCAGAGACAAATTTTTACAAAATATGCGCCACGCCTTGTGCTGTTAAATATTCCTGTACCAGCTCAAAGAAGAACGAGTTTTAAAAGCTTTTTTTTTTTGGAATCACGTTTTATTGTAAATAAGCCTGTAAAGTGGCAGTTACGGATTAAAGGAAAGCAAAAACGTTATTTTGTACGAAGTTTTTAAAACCATATGGACCCATGTAAGTACTTGTCAAAATGGCCACGCTACGCCCCTGCAATGCAACCATTACCCGTCACGACGCGCTGCTCCCGTGCTAAAAGCGTGACGTAACGTTGATAGAGTACGCCTTGATCTCATATACCGCCGGTTAAACATCAAGGTTAAACGATTTCTACTACAGAACTTTTGCACTCTATTCTGATCAACGGATGAGAAAACTCGATGTGTCCTTCCTCATGCAACCACCTTTTCAGGCTTACAAGCGAGACGTCAGTTTAAGTAACATGATGGTCCGTTCCACAAATGACGCGTCTTCTGAGCAGCCTGCTTCCCGCGCATGTCAGCGGCATCGACTGCAATTACATAAATTTTGTCGCTGATACGCGGCACTAAGTCCTTTTCCCATCCGTGACCATTCCTACTTCTTTATATTGGTTAAACTGAGCTGTTCCAGCCTCTCAGATAGTCAGGGGGAAATGTACGCGAAATGTTCGCGGGGTGGAAAAAAGGAAAAAGGAATCGCTGCCCCTGCTATACTACAGCGAGCAGATTAATGAATTCTAAGCCATTGTGTTTGTCTCTTTTAGAAATCGATCGGTGAAAACTGTTATGATACATATCATTTTTCGTTAACATTTCTTTTTATTTTTCAGCTTATTTCCCCCTTGCAGGGAAATATTTTTTACTTCACCAACCCCCACCCCCATAACGTTTCTAATGGTCCATCTCACCCTGCGCGCAAAACGTCCTAATTTGTTGAGTGACGCCAAGTGATAGAGCGGCAAGCGAATGAACAGCTCTGCTGCTGAGAGGGTGCATGGTCCATCCCTGAGTTTTATTCAGTGGCGGATCCAGGGGAGAGGCTCGGGGGGGCCCGGGCCCCCGCCTACCCCCCCCCCCCCCCCCCCCTTTATCTAAGGATCTGGATGATCGCTGCCCATTCTTATGTCAAGGTCTGGATCCAGCACTGTTATTTACCACCCAAACTCTTACAATACGTCACCTATGTTGTCACTCTTCGCAGACATGGCAGGGCAGAGGCAGAGGCAGGGGGGCATAAAGAGGAACACATTTTACTTCTCAAAGTACATTAACAGTCATGATAGTTTTTATTGGCAAATTTTCCACAACCTCTAACTCATAACATATTCAATGAAAAGCAAATTTTTGCAACTTACGCCTGTACAAAAGAACATTTTATGAGTCTTTTAATACCTTGCCGATAGTTACTACTAAACATGAAGCAGATAATCAGGTTGATAGCACAGTAAGCGTTAATCATAAAGTAGGTTACAGCAAAGTATATCTGGAAACTACACGAGAAATGGGCAGACCTATCCTGATACTCTATGATTAAATGGTTAGTATTGTAAGGTAACCAGCAAAGCACAAGCACTGATACGATTGCAATAATAATGAGGCCTATGGACAAGGCAACGGCAGACAGTCGTTCTGTACAGTCCTTCGCTATCATTAAAAACACTGGACACAGGAATTTTGTTATTGGCCGTTTTCACACTAGAGCTAGGGCGTTCGCGTGTCTGCTTTTGCTTTTTCACAAAGATCATTTTTAAATTGACTATTGACATTTCTATGTGTAAAATAATATTTGAAGTGCAATACTTTATAAAAAGTATGATCTATTAAATGTTAAAATTTTTCAAAAGAATAGCTTATTTCATCCCGAGATGATCCGAAGACCTTTATTAAAAAAATACAGGTTAATTAATATTTAACTTTTTGAAACAAAAGAAGTTAATTTTTAACTTTTTCGTTAACCGTAACTGAATAAAATTAACTGATAGCCGTAAAAGAGCCAAAATTTTAGCCGTTAACCGTAAAAGCGACCACCCCATTGAGACTCTCTCTTGAGCTTGATACGGATAAAAGAATGACTAACAACATCAGGTATGTATGCAAACAGAATGTTGTAAGCTAGAAGCAAACTGGCAAAGGACAAGGATTCTCCGAATACTTTCTTCCATCTCCGTACACACCTGACTCCCTCCGGGTATTCAGCTAGTTCGAAGGCCAACAAGTCTGGCGAAATAAAAACTATGGCAAACATCCACGTGGCAAGAATGAGGAAGGGACACAGCTTAGATCTGATGAGTGGGGAACGGAGTGGAAACACCACGGCTCCAAATCGATCCACTGCTGTCAGAATCAGATTCTGAATCGAAACGACAAAGGAAACGTTACCAAAGAAAGGGAGAAGCTTACACAAGGCCTGACCAAGCTGACCACCGATAAGAAACGAGTTGGCGTGCAAGAGTGACAATTTAAAAGGTATCGAGAATACTGGAAACAACAAATCAGATGAGGCCATGTTTGCGATAAAATAGTTTATCGTTTTTTTTAAGTTCGGCGTTTTAGAAACGATGATAACAATGAGAGAATTTGCGACCAGTGAAAGGATGATGATCAGACAGTAGGTAACGGTTCCTCCGATTTTCAACGCAGAAAAATTTAAGCAGCTCCAAGATCCGCTGGACCCGTTCGCCGTTGAATTCACAGTGAATTCATGCTTAGCTCAGCGACGTATCTACGGAATTGTACATATACAGTCAAGAAACTTTGAATTGCAGTCGACTCCCGATAACTCGAACCTTCAAGGGAAATAGAAAAAGGTTCGAGTTATTGGGAGTTCGAGTTATCGGGAGATCGAGGAAAATAGCCGAGAGTAAGGTAAAAAACAGTTTGTACTGCACGGTGAGCATTTTAATCACATTTAATCACGATAGAATTGTAGAAATGTTGAGTGAAAATTCAAAGATACTTATAAAAATTATAAATCAGAACGTAAAGTAACAAAACGTTGCCCAAATAGAGCATACATTTTACTTTTTGAGAGGTAAAGCTATTTCAAGCTAGATTTGTGACAAACAACATCAGCCTCCACTATCGATCCAGTAGTAAACTATATGCCTACAGCAGGTCAATGGGAAATTCAAAATTCAATGTTTCGGAGGCAGTACACTGTTTTTTCCCGACTTTTTAAGGGCTCAAAACATGGTTCGAGTTATCGGGGGTAAAATTATATAGAAATGATCTGAGGGGGAACAAAAATTACTTCGAGTTAGCGGGAGTTTCGAGTTATCGAGGGTTCGAGTTACAGAGGGTAAAATTACAGTAAATGTATGACGGAAATCCAGGGGAAATCTATTTTGGTTCGAGTTAGCGGGAGGTTCGAGTTAACGAGGGTTCGAGTTATCGGGAGTCAACTGTACTACTCTGTATATTGGGTATGCTGTTTGAGTCAGAACTTTTATTGACAATTGTAAGCCCCCTGCGAAGCCACAGCACAACTGTCCTTTGAGGCCTTCAAAAATTGTCTTTGTATTGTAATGTTCCGGCATTATCCGCCAACAGACTTTTTGACAGAAGACTGGGGTATTAGTATGTTATAAATCAACCGGAACACCTCATTTTGGTCAGGTGGTTGTATTAAGAAATCGATTAAGTAGATGATTAAACAACAAAAAATGATATCTTTGGTAATACCATCATCAGAGTCAATTAAAAGATGGCAGTTTATTGTCATTTATCTACCAACCTAATTTTAAAACTAATATGCTTTCGGCGAAAATGTCAAGAGAGCTTATGAATAGCGGAATATCCTGTCTATCAATTGCTACCGCCTAGCTAGGCCGTCTAGAGATCCTTATCCGCTCTGGTTCAAATCTCAACTTCTATGTCAGAATTCTAGTTCAGGGTCAATGTAATGTCATCTCTAATCAATTCGAACTTTTAAATGGAACTTTAAAACACTGAACAAGGTGCAACGCTCAAAGTCAATCAAGCAGGCAACTGAATAATTTCAATGATTTTGCTCTTTTCTGCTAATTTCTAATACTTTTTGAAAAAAATTTCATGGGGGCGTCTACTGGACAAAGGATGTTTTATTAGCGAGGGCGTCTAATGCAAACATAATATCATACAGAGGCGGTTATTTAATAAGCCAAGAGGCGTTTGTTTGAAAGGGGGCGTCAATTAGTCATTAGATTAATTTATGCTAACTCATCAATGCCTAAGTAAGCCTTTTGTAGTTTGCTAGGAGATACTCATTAGCACTGAACCTTCAAATTAATTACATTGTCTGAAAGAAATTTTTTCTTTATTGCTCGTTTAAGCCCTTTAAAAGCTTTGGTTGTCCAGTCGAAATAACACAAGGGGAGCAATGAGAGAGAACAAAGTATTGGCTCCTAAACAAAATTTAAACAATAACAGGTAGAAAGGTACTAAAATTACACTTTCAAAATCATGTCAGTTAGTCGATCTACAGAAGGTGTTAATCGAAAATAATTGAGTAGACTTTTGCATAAATTAACTACGGACAGATCGGGTCAATTTCCTTTTATATAGAACGGTGCAGACTATTTACTCCTGAACTCTTTAAGGTTCCATATTTTAATGAAGTGATTATTTGGTAAGCGGCAAATTCAGGAAGGATAGATCTTTCCACAGAAGGCAATACGTGCCAGACAATAGAGGATACGACAGTACATGTTTAACTTAATCTTAAGAATAACTAGGAGATGGCATACCATCATTATTATTATTTTTATCTTTGTTTCATTTAAAAATCATCAACTGCTTAAATTCGATCGACGACAAGGAAAAACTAACACACTAGCTAGGATAGATAAGTAATTTTCTTAAAATTCAGTTCACGACGAAAGGTATTTTAAGATCGATTATCGAGGAAGCGTAACGAAGAGCTGTTAGTGTATTTTAATGTGTTCAAAACGCCCGTTTCAAAACGTATGTTCAGGGAATTTGTTTAAAATAAATACTAAAAATACAACGTCAAGGAGTAGAGTAACTAAGCATCCATTAATGTGGCTCTTAGCTTTTTTAGCCCCGGCCACGAGGAAATTTTTGTGCTGCTGAGGAACAGTGATCACGCTCTTGCGATCCAGAGCGCGGAAAAGTTTTTCATCTATGAACACTATGATTTGTCACCACATGTAGTTCTGTATTTTCTCTGTAAACTGTTTGAAGCAGCTCTAAAACTGTTGAAAGTATGGTTGAAAATAGTACGTGCTTATTGCTAATTTTATTAATGTTTTCTTTGGCAATACGATCATAAAGTGCACGATTTGGCAGTTAAACTCGAGCACAGCTGCCTTCAAGCAATTAAGCCCACTCACTGGCTTAGCAGATAAATATGAGGTAAAAAAAGTGCATATTCATCAAGTGTGCATAAAACATGCAGTTTTTATAACATTTGCTTTTCGATCGAGCAAAAAATGGGAAATCAGTTATGAAACCAAGAGTCTAGACTAAACTATAATGGGTTCTTCTTCAACAAAAACACAAGACTTGTTACTTCTTTTACCGCCTTTAATTTTTTTACGAACTTCTGTACTTGTTGACCCCAATAATATTGCTCGATAACGTTGTGGCACTTCACAAGAAACCCCACTCCCCCGCTAAACCCATATCAATACCTGAGAAGTCTTTTGCGATTGGCTATATAGGAGCGGCTTATTAGCATATATGGAACCTTCCAATCATTTACTTGGTGACAACGATTTCCTGTTTTAAATTTCACTTTAAAGGGGGTTAAGATTGGGTTGTCCAGTCAACATAAAATAAGGAGAGCAAACAGAGAGAACAAAGTATTGGCTTCTAAACAGAATTTAAACAATGAGTGCGAGGAAGGCACTAAAATAACAGTTTGAAAATCATGTCAGATCAATTAGTCGATCCACAGAACCGAGGTGTTGAGCTTTTTTTATTGGCTAAACTTTGCAATAAATTATTTATGAATGTGTGATTACAAATTAAAAATGCAATACGTGCTGAACAGCAGAAGTTACAACAATATAGACAGACAGTTAAGAGTTGCTAGGAGATATTTCATACCATTATCATTATTCGAATTTTTATCGTTAACATTTCCCTTAAATGTTCAGTTAATAAATTTTCCCCTTGCATGAACGAATACTTTTGTACTTCTCCTGCCCACGCCCCTATAACGTTTCTAACGGTCCGCGGCCGAGTTTTATCCCAAACTCTTACAATACGTCGCCTATGCTGTCATTTCTCGCACTCATTAAAACCTTCTCAGAGTGCTGGAGTACAGTGACAGTCATGATATATGATATATTCGCGAGCCAAAAACACATTTTTGCGATCGACGCCCGTACAAAAGAACATTTTATGAGTCTTTTAAGAGCTTTTTCGTAATCAATTACTGCTAAAAATGAAAAAGAAAATCGGGTTGATAGCACAGTACGCGTTAGACATATATACATGGTGACATCAAAGTATAGCCAAAAACTGCACGAGAAATGCATAGACCTGTCATGTAGCTACGGTGAGAAAACGATTCTCAGAAAAGATAATCGAAAATACGTGCTTAACACCATTTTTAAACAGGTGTGTGAAATGTTATCGTTAGCAATACGATCTTAAAGTACACAATTTGGCAGGGAAACACAGGAAGCAGGGTAGAAGCTGCCTGCCGTTAATATAAGTAATTAACAGGCTTAACAGGAAAATATGAGGTAAAAATAAATGCCTGCTATCATGTGTGCATGAAGCAGCCGGTGTTTATATCATTTACTTCTCGATCGAACTAAAAACGGGAAATTCTAAAAGCAGGAGTCTGCTGTCGGCAAAGGGAAACTAGCAGGTTCTTACTCAACAAATAGACGAGGCTTGTTCCTTCTTTGACTGCTTTTAATTGTTACGAATTGTTGGTTACAATTTTATCCCTTGATAACGCTGTGGCAACAGTTTTTATAATGACCAGAGTGACTCAGACGCTTTAAAACTCATATCAATGCCTGAGTAAGTCTTGTAATTGGCTAGGAGAAACTCATTAGCATTGAACCTTCGAGTTATTTACTTTGTCGAATCGATTTTCTTTCTTAAATTTCACTTTCAAGCTTGGTTTCAATTGTCCAGTCAATATAAAACCAAGGAAGGCAAAGAGAGAAGACAAAGAATTAGTTTCTAAACAAAAATTTAAACAATATCATACAGTAACCACTGAAGAGCATCCCCTTTTATAGCCCGCGCAAATGAAATCGGACGAAGGACTTTTTTGGAAGTCTATAACCTCTGTTGCTTGCATTTTCATCGCTTAACAGTATATGTAAATACCAGGATTGTATTTTTTATGAAGTTATTATTATTATTATTATTATTATTATTATTATTATCATTAAATTCTTCACTAATGTAATGGTATTAGTTTATTCTAATGTGTTCAAAACGCCCATTTGAAAACGTATGTTGAATTTGCGTCAAATAGATAACAAAAATACAACGCCAGGCCAAGAACATTTTTAATGTGGCTCTTTAAGCCCCACGTGGAAGTGTAAAAGAGTCATCAGGGAGTCTTGTGGTCAAGAGCGCAGGAAATTTTCTCATCTACGGACGATAACAGTTTATCACTATTGTAGTTTTGTCTCTTCTTGGTAAATCGTTTGAAACAGTTCCAAGACTGGATCGCCTGCCATTGTCTGTCGCCTTCTGTACAACGCAGTATATGCATCGAGGCCATCAGTTAAGTTTCAAACTTTAATTTTTGTCCCCTTACGAGGCCTCAGAACAATAATTGTTATTAAGACCGACATGGCTTAAACTTCCTGTATGGCTTAAACTTCCTGTTTAACTTTTTGGTTCATGTATTTTTTTTTTGCAATGGGCGAACGGCGAACGTGCCCCAAAGGATGCGGTTTTTTTTCTTTGCTAAATTTCTTTTGACGACGTAAACAGTACTGTCAAACCTTGGGGTGGCGCTAAAATTTCAACAGATGTTTATAATTGTCAGTTTTATTCCTTTCTTTAACTTAGCGGTTCTGTAGTAATTAAGAGTTGTTAGTTGTAAAGTTGTACTTCACCTGCCTACGCCCCCAATAACGTTTCTAATGGTCCGTCCCTGAGTTTTATTTACCGCCCAACCTTTAACAATACGTGGCCTATGCTGTCATATTTTGCAGTCATGCCAGACTTAATCCTCAGTTAAGTACGCCAACGGCAGTGGTGGTGATTTTTTATTCGCGAGTGTTCCACCTACCTCTAAATCTTAACATATTCAGTCAAAATCACATTTTTGCGAGTTACGTCTGTACAAGAGAACATTTCATAACTCTTCTAAGACCTTTTCGATAATTACTACTAAAAATACATTGATAGTCATGACACATTTATTCGCGTTTGTTCCACGAACCTCGCACTCTTAACTCTTCAACCAAAACCACATTTTTGCGACCTATGCCTGTACAAAAGAACATTTTATGAGTCTTTTAAAAGCTTTTCGGTAATTACTGCTAAATATGAAACAGATGATCGGGTTGATAGCACAGTACACGTGACTGATATAAACGGTGACATAGTCGTATAACCAAAAACTACACGAGAAATGCGTGAGACTGTCCTGATATTCTATGATTAAAATGTTGATAGAGTAAGGTGATTAGCAAAACACAAACACTGTTACGATAGCAATGGACAGTTGAAGCACGTTTCTGTCTCTTCTGTTCCGCTCTTGCTGAGTGTTGGCGGACTGCTCATCTGGGTGTGCCTGTGTCTTGAGCTTGATAACAATGATGGAGTAAAGAATGACTAGCAACAGCACAGGTATGTATATAAACAGAATGTAGGAAGCTAGTACGAAACTGGCATAGGACGATGACTCTCCGAATACTTTCTCCCATTCAAAAGCACACCAGGTTCCCTCTAGGGATTCAACGAGCTCGAAAGTGAACAAGTATGGCGAACTGGCCGCTACGGCAACTATCCATGTAGCGAGAATGAAGAAAGGACACAGCTTGCATCTAATGAGTGGGGAACGGAGTGGAAACACCACGGCTCCAAAGCGATCTACTGCTATCAGAATCAGATTCTGAATCGAAACGACAAAGGAAACGTTACCAAAGAAAGGGGCAAGCTTACACAAGGCCTGGCCAAGCTGACCACCGATAAGCCACGAGTAATTGGTGTGCAAGAATGACAGGTTCAAAGGTATCCAGAATATTGCATACAGCAGATCAGATGAGGCCATGTTTGCGATGAAAAGATTTATCGGTTTTCTTAAGTTCGGCGTTTTATAAACGATCATTACAATGAGAGAATTTGCTACCAGTGAAACGATAAAGATCAGACAGTAGGTAACGGTTCCTCCGATTTTTGACGCAGTGGAATTTAAGCAGCTCCAAGGTCCGCTGGATCCGTTCGCCGTTGAGTTCATGCTGAGTTTTTTCGACGTATCTACAGAGTCGTACACATGCAGTCAAGTAACTTTGAATTACTGCTCTGTATGCTGCGTATGCTGTTTGAGCGGCAGAACTTTGATTGACAATTGCAAGCCCCCTGCGAAGCCACAGCACAGCTGTCCTCTGAGGCCTTCAATCATTATCCGCAAACTAGCCTGCTAACAGCAGACGCATTTCCGGTCGTCGCTCCTCTCCCTCCCAAAAATAGCTTTGTTTTTTTGTTAATTTTTAATTTTTATAAATTTTTAAAAATTTTTAAAACTAAACTAGTGAGCAGCACTCTGCGAACTGTTGCTGTAAAACTTATTTATTCTCCTACGCGTTTCGTCTAACTAACGTAGACTTCTTCAGGGAGTTTTACAATCAAATACTAAACGCCTGACTAAAAATAATGATGGTCGCAAACATTGTAGGTTTGGCCGGATTTACGAAAAGGAACAGGCGCAGCTGTGAAATTTTTTACGCAAGGTGTGAGAAAACTTTGGGGCCTTTGGGAGAAGCGACGACCGGAAATGCGTCTGCTGTTCGCAGGCTATCCGCAAACCGACCTTTTGACAGAATTGGAACAGTGGGGTATTAAAATGTTATTCTCGCTTTTCACATGACGTCACCAAATTCAAACTAACGATAAAATCTTCATCCCAAAATATCTCGATAGCGCTAGCTCTTACAGATTCCGCTTTAACTTCACGAACATCGAGGCGACCGTATTGGAGAAAAAAAGCTCCCGTGAACGATTTTTTAAGAACAGTTTCCGGTGCCAAAAAAATATTGCTGCAAGTGATGGCGGTAGGTAATGGCGTCATTTTGTTGCTATATAACAACTATAACATCTTGACAAATTTCATCTTTATCTAATACAACTGGTGGTAATTTTATAAATGTTCGTTTATGGCGACATAGAGTGTTTAGTTAAGGTAAAAAACCCACTGCAAAAACCGTGTACGAACAATCTTGCTCAACGTCGGATCCAAATGAAAGATCGTGATCAGTCCATAAAATATATAAAATTGAAAATGTTACAGTCAAGAAGACTTTTGCAGGGACTGATCAAACACCGTGAAATAGAGTTAAGTTGCGTTATTTCGGCTGGTCAATACCAGTCTTCATCTACAATAGCAGAGGTTAATTTCATCAAAACATCTTAATTTATTTTGCCGTTGATTAACCTGCTGAATGTCTGAGTGTCTGAAATCACAAGGTGTCTGCAAATTGAGAATTTACTGTATCTTTCACATGGCATTTGTCTGATTTTAAAAACCAAAACTGAGACAATGACCTCAACAGGCCATCTTGTGGATACTGACTGCTGAATTGTTTTTTTGCTCAACTAGAGGCTCGCAGGTGCTACGCTGTTAGTTTTTGCAAACAAGCAGGACCTTCCTGGTGCATTATCAGCAGAAGAAATTAAAGATGTAAGTTTAATTGTGCCTGATAAGTTGTAAGCAATGTCTGTAGATCAGTTGCACATTAAGCGAATTCTCTAGTGTTTCAGATGAATTAGCAGATAATATAATATCTCAAGGCCCTTTTATGGATTAGGGGGATGGAGTTTGGGGAGAATCAATGTGCCTAGCCTGAATTTTACATTTGAAGAGGAAGTCATGTCCCTGTGTACTAAAATAGATTTTATTACTTTGTGGTTGTCTTTGTTGCTGTCACTGCAGTTTCAGTCCATTGATCCTTGTGTCATTTGTTGCCATTCCACCTGTCTTGTGCCCTTGTGCTATGAACCAGGGCCACATTACCAAGGTTTACCAGTCATTTTGATACAAACTCATTCGGATACAAGTCATTTTGATAGAAGTTTATTCAGTCAAGGTGTAGATAGTTTCGTTTACTTGGCTTAAGGAACAAAGAATATTCAGCCCAAAATTAATGTTTTTCTCGTTCATGTGCAGACTATACTTGAAGTGATCAAAATTTTTATGTAATTTCAATGCTTGAGGTTCCATCAAAACAACTTGTATCAAAACGATCAGTTTCCCATTACCCATGCTCACTCTGTATGACTCCACAGGCTATCTGTGGAGAATGGCACCAAACATGAATAGGAGTTAATGTACTCTAACTGTTTACAACTGTATTTGTTTCCTTTTTGTAGGCCCTTAATCTGGAAGCCATCAAGACACATCACTGGAACATTCAGTGGTGCAGCGCTGTAACAGGAGAAAAGTTGTTGGATGGCATTGATTGGATCATTTCTGATATTGCATCAAGAATATTCACAATGGACTAAGAAACATTGAATTCATAGCTGCAGTACAGCCCAGTCAAAGTCATCCGGCATCCGGCAATGGGCCTTTTGCACAGAACAGTCACATGGCACAAAAAAACACCTTGCTGGATGGCAAACAACACAGAGGGGCAAGAAAAACAAAGTGATTATACATCATTCAAAAAGCTTATATGAATCCTTACTTTCAAGGTCCCACTGCATTGTTTGCCATTCAGCAAGGGGACGGTTTTGTGCAAAAAATGGCCCTGCCAGTTTCAGTGTAATATATGCCAGCAAGTCAACACTTAACCACCACACGAATTTATGTCTTTGCTGCCTGTTTTTGTTGTTAACCCACCTACTTTTGTAAAACATCAGAGACTTTAAGATTCAAGGACAAGAACGACTATGAGTATTAGATTTTTAAATTTTTTTTTTTCACATATTTTTCAAAAAAATAGTCACCCCGGAAAGCTGCATTGTACTTTTTTTTTCACCAAAAAGTTAGCACTGTTATATTTATTAAAGGAGGTTAAGCCCTTTCCTGATCACAACATTGTGATCATTCTTGTGTCTGCTTCTATTCTCTCTAAAACTTATAGTAGAATGAAATCGACTAAAATTATTAGTTTTTCCTCCAGGCTCTCAGATATTGGGGAAAGGCACGCGAAATGTTGGCGGGGCGGAAAAAAGGAAAAAGGAACCGCCGCCCCTGCTATACTACATATTTTTCCGGTGAATAGCGCTATCCACCGGAAAAGTGAAGAGTAGGAAGTTGAGCAGATTAATGAAGCTGAAGCAGATTAAAGGTCAGCTTTCAAGCTGAGCAGATTAATGAATACTTTAAAGCCATTTTGTTTGTATTTAGAAATCGATCAGTCAAAAGACATTTGGAGATCAGGCAGTATATGCGTGGAAATTTGAAACTGTTTTTGTTAACATGTCTTTTTATTTTTCAGTTTATTTCCCTCTTGCATGAATATTTATTTTGTAGTTCGCCCTCCCCCTCCCCCATAACGTTTCTAATCGTCCATCTCACCCTGTGAGCAGTACCTCCTAATTTGCTGAGTGATGCCAAGTGATCAAGCGGCGAGTGAATGAACAGCTCTGCTGCTGAGCGGGTGCATGGTCCATCCCTGAGTTTTATTCAGTAGCGGATCCAAAGGAGGGGCCCGGGCCACCTATTATTTTTAGACCAAACCGAGACCCGAAGGGCTGAAAAAATATTTTTTCGAGACCGCCCACCCCAGCTAAGAATCTGGATAACCTGGACCCCCCCTTATCTCAAGGTCTGGATATGGCACTGTTATTTACCACCCAAACTCTTACAATTAATACGTCGCGTGTGCTGTTACTCTTCGCAGTCATGGTAAGGCGGAGGCAGGGGAAACATAAACTGGAACACATTTTATTTCTCAAAGTACATTAACATTCAGGATAGTTTTTATTGGCAAATGTTCCACAAACTCTAACTCATAAAATATTCAATTAAAAGCAAATTTTTGCGAATGAACTGCTCTGCTGCTGAGAGGGTGCATGGTCCATCCCTGAGTTTTATTCAGTGGCAGATCCCGGCCCCCCCTTATTTTTAGACCAAACTAAGGCCCGAAGGGTCGAAAAAAATTTTTTGGAGACCTGCCCCCCTCCCCCCCCTTTATTTAAGGGTCTGGATGATCGCTCCCCCTTCTTATCTCAAGGTCTGGATCCAGCATTGTTATTTACCACCCAAACTCTTACAATACGTCGCCTATGCTATCACTCTTCACAGTCATGGCAGGGCAGAGGCAGAGGCAGGGGGACATAAACTTAAAAGTCATGATAGTTTTTATTGGCAAATTTTCCATGATTCTCTAACTCTTGACATATTCATGCATATCAAAAGCACATTTTTGCGACTTAGGCCTGTACAAAAGAATATTTCATGAGTCTTTTTACACCTTGGCGATAATTACTACTAAACATGAAGCAGATAATCGGGTTGATAGCACAGTAAGCGTTAGCCGTAAAGTAGCTTACATGCCAATATATCAAGAAACTACACGAGAAATGGGCAGAACTGTCCTGATACTCTATGATTAAATAGTTAGTATTGTAAGGTAATCAGCAAAGCACGAACACTGTTACGATTGCAATGGACATTTGAAGAACGTTTCTGTTTCTTCTTTTCCGCTGTTGCTGATTGTTGGTTGACTGTTCACCTGGGTGTACCTGTGTCTTGAGCTTGATAAAGATGATGGAGTAAAGAATGACTAACAGCAGCACAGTGATGTAGGTAAACAGAATGTTGTAGGATACTGGCAAAGTAGGATACTAGTAGCTACTACTACTACTACTAGTAGTAGTAGCTAGTAGGATACTGGCAAAGGAAAAGGATTCTCCGAATACTTTCTTCCATCTCCGTACACAACTGGCTCCCTCCGGGTATTCAACCAGTTCGAATGCCAACAAGTCTGGCGAAATAAAAACTATGGCAAAGATCCACGTGACGAGAATGAAGAAGGGANCATCTCCGTACACAACTGGCTCCCTCCGGGTATTCAACCAGTTCGAATGCCAACAAGTCTGGCGAAATAAAAACTATGGCAAAGATCCACGTGACGAGAATGAAGAAGGGACACAGTTTGGATCTGATGAGTGGGGAACGGAGTGGAAACACCACGGCTCCAAATCGATCCACTGCTATCAGAATCAGATTTTGAATCGAAACGACAAAGGAAGCGCTACCAAAGAAAGGGAGAAGCTTACACAAGGCCTGACCAAGCTTTCCACCGATAAGAAACGAGTTGGCGTGCAAGAGTGACAATTTAAAAGGTATCGAGAATACTGGAAACAACAAATCAGATGAGGCCATGTTTGCGATAAAATAATTTATCGGTTTTCTTGAGTTCGGCGTTTTACAAACGATGATAACAATGAGAGAATTTGCGACCAGTGAAACGATGATGATCAGACAGTAGGTAACGGTTCCTCCGATTTTCCACGCAGAAAAATTTAAGCAGCTCCAAGATCCGCTGGATCCATTCGCCGTTGAGTTCATGCTTAGCTCAGCGACGTATCTATGGAATTGTACATATACAGTCAAGAAACGTTGAATTACTACTCTGTATATTGGGTATGCTTTTTGAGTCAGAACGTTTATTGACAATTGTAAGCCCCCTGCGAAGTCACAGCACAACGGTCCTCTGAGGCCTTCAAAAATTGTCTTTGTACTAATTATAATCTTCCGGCAAGACTTTTTGACAGAACCCTGAGGTATTATATTAGTATGTTATAAACCAATCAGAACACCTCATCTAGGTCAGTTGGTTGTATTAAGAAATCGACTGAGCAGATGATTAAACAACAAAAAATGATATCTTTGGTAATACCATCATCAGAGTCGTTTAAAAGATGGCAGTCACTATCATTTATGTAACAACCTAATTTTCAAAAGTAATATGCTTTCGGCGAAAATGTAAAGAGAGCTTATGAATGGCGGAATATCCTGTCTATCAATTGCTACCGCCTAGCTAGGCCGTCTAGAGATCCTTATCCGCGCAGGTTCAAATCTCAACTTCAATGTCAGAATCCTAGTTCAGGGTCAATGTAATGTCATCTCTAATCAATTCGAACTTTTAAATGGAACTTTAAAACACTGAACAAGATGCAATG